TGAACCAGCCTTGCATCCCAGGAATGAATCCCACTTGGTCATGGTGCACAATCTTTTTGATATGTTTTTGTATCCGATTTGCCAGAATTTTATTGAGGATTTTTGCATCTATATTCATTAGGGATATTGGTCTGAAGTTTTCTTTCTTTGAAGTGTCTTTATCTGGTTTTGGAATCAGGGTGATGTTGGCCTCATAAAATGAATTTGGATGTACTCCCTCTTTTTCTATCTCCTGAAATAGATTGATGAGTATTGATATTAGTTCTTCTTTAAAGTTCTTGTAAAACTCTGCTGTATATCCGTTCGTTCCTTTTCTTGGTTGGTAGTCTTTTGATGGCTTCTTCTATTTCCTCACTTGATATTGGTCTGTTTAGCTCATATGAGCATATGAGTTCAATCTGGGTAGCTCATATGCCTTAAGGAATTTATTGATGCCTTCACTATCCTCTATTTTATTAGAGTATGGGGTTTCAAAATAATTTCTAATTATCTTCTGTATTTCTGAAGTGTCTGTTGTGATGTTGACTTTTTCATGCGGTAAGCTAGTAATCTTATTTATTTTTTCAAAGAACCAACTTTTAGTTTTGACAATTTTTTCAATTGTTTCTTTTATTTTGATTTCATTGATTTCAGCTCTGATTTTAATTATTTCTTGCCTTCTACTGTATTTGCTGCTGATTTGTTCTTCTTTTTCTAAGGCTTTGAGGTGTAGTGTGAGGTCATTTATTTATTGGCTTTTTCTTCTTTTAAGGAATGAGCTCCATGAAATGAATTTTCCTCTTAGTACTGCTTTCATAGTGTCCCAGAGATTTTGATATGTTGTGTCTGAGTTTTCATTCACCTCTAAGAATTTTTTAATTTCCTCTGATGTCTTGTGTAACCCTTTGTTCATTCAGCAGCATATCGTTTGTTCTCCATGTGATGTAGGATTTTTTCTTTCTTATTTTATTATTGATTTCCAATTTCATTCCATTATGATCAGATAAAATGCATGGTAGTATCTCTACTCATTTGTATTTTTGAGAAGGATCCATGTGCTGCTGAGAAGAAAGTTTCATTAAGTCTTGTTGGTGTATGGTTCCCTTGAGCAGTATGTAGTGTCCTTGTTTATCCATTTTGATTAACTTTGGTTTGAAGTCTATTTTATTTGATACAAGTATGGACACCCCTGCTTGCTTCCGAGGTCCATATGAGTGGTATGATTTTTCCCAACCTTTCACCTTCAGTCTGTGTATATCTTTTCCTATCAGATGAGTCTCCTGTAGGCAGCATATTGTGGGATCTTTTTTTTAAATCTAGTCTACTAGTCTACGTCTTTTGATTGGTGCATTTAAGCCATTAAATTTAGGTTTACTATTGAGATATGATTTGTACTTCCAGCCATATTAGGTTATTTATGTTACTTAACATGATTTGTTTTTCCTCTTTGATTAGTTTTTCCTTTACTATACTACCTCCCGCTATTGGTTTTCATTGTTATTTTTCATTTCCTCTTCCTGTAATGTTTTGCCAAGGATGTTTTGAAGAGCTGGTTTTCTAGCTGCAAATTCTTTTAAGTTTTGTTTATTGTGGAAGATTTTTATTTCATCTTCAATCCTGAAGCTTAATTTCGCTGGATACACGATTCTTGGTTGGAACCCATTTTCTTTCAGTGTTTGAAATATGTTGTTCCAGGATCTTCTAGCTTTCAGAGTCTGTGTTGAAAGATCAGCCATTATCCTGACTGGTTTACCCCTAAATGTAATCTGCTTCCTCTCTCTTGTGGCTTTTAAGATTCTCTCCTTATTCTATATATTGGACTTCTTCATTATTATGTGTCTTGGTGTGGATCTCTTATGATTTTATACATTCGGCGTTCTGTAGGCTTCTAGTATTTGGATTTTTTTTTCATTCTTTAAGTCTGGGAAGTTTTCTAGTATTATTTCATTGAACAGATTGCTCATTCCTTTGGTTTGGACCTCTATACCCTCTTGTATCCCAATAACTCTTTATGTTATCCCATATTTCTTAGATGTTCTGCTCATGACTTCTTAACATTCTTGCTGAGCTGTCTATGTTCTTTTCAAGTTGAAAAACTTTGTCTTCGTTGTCTGATGTTCTATCTTCTAAGTGTTCTACTCTGCTGGTAATACTCTCATTTGAGTTTTTAATTTGGTTTATTGTTTCTTGCATTTCCAGGATTTCTGTTTTTTGGTTTTTTTTTTTTTTAATATCCTCTATCTCCCTGTAGGGTTGATCTTTTGCTTCTTGGATTTGTTTATGTAATTCATTGTCAAAGTGATCTTTCATTGTCTGATTTTGCTGTCTAATGTCTTCCTCTAGACTCCAGATCATCTGAAGCATGTATATCCTGAACTCTTTATCTGACATTTCATCAGCTGCAGATATTACCTCTTCTAATGTTGAATTGACCTGCATTGTTTGTGGTCCTTTCTTTCCTTGTCTTTTCATACTGCTCATATTTCTTTCTAGCTTTGTGAAACTGTTGTGTTAATGGTTTTCCCCTTATATATTTATATTGTTCTTGTATAGCTCCAAAATCCCTCTTTTGCGGAGAAAGACAATGTTAACAGTTCCCAATATCAACAGTACTGTGGTTTCTTTTTTTAATGTGTCTACTTTTAAAAATTGTTTTCTTCTTAATTTTTGTGCTTGTTAATTAATCTTCTTTTAGAAACCAAATGGAAATTTGTTAATCTGTTTTAGATTAGGATACTGTGTAAGATCATTAGGGCTGCGTTCTTTAATATTTATTTTTTTGTTGTAGTTGGACCCAATACCTTTATTTTATTTATTTTTATGTGTTGCTGAGGATCAAACCCAGGGCCTTACATGTGCTAGGTAGGTAAGTGCTCTACTGCTGAGCCACAACCCCAACCCAAGGGCTGTGTTCTTAAGCAAAATTTGACAGGTTCTAAAGGAAGATCTGAGGGGGGTTCTTCTTTCTTTTCTTTTTCAATATTCAGTTTCCTTTAATGACCTCCCATCTCCCTAAAGGGAAGGTGCAGGCAGCTAGACAAGGGCAAGAGATGTTCACTTGAGGAACTTGCCCTGATAAGGTTTTGCCCACATGCTGGAAGGCCCCTTCCCAGGAAAGAACTCTTGGACCAAAGTCTGGGTCTCTTGGCTGCCAGGATCCAGTTTCCGCCACGTAAATGACTTGTAGTCCACCTGCCAATCTGGACTCAGCAGAAAGGCATGCTCCTAGCCTCAGAAGACCCAGACTCCAGAAATGGAGATGTTATTATTGGTTTCAAAGAGGATGACACTGGCCAAGGTGTTCTTCCTCAGCTTGTCCAATTGCTGAAACATTTCAGTGATAAGTTGCAACTCATGATGGCCTGAGTGAGCTCTTTAGGAAAGTGGTACTCAGTATACCACAAAGAACAGCCATCCTTATCAAAGTGCTCCCTAAAATATGGCAGCACCACAGAAAGCGTGTCCTCCTTGGAGTATCTGCATTTAAATTCATCCCACACAAAGGTACTCTTAGGCAGGTGAACAAAGGGGTCCTTGGCCTTGGGCTCAGCAGCCACTGCCTGGTCACAATAATCCATCTCCTCCTCTGGAGCTGGGGCAGCTGCCTTTTTCTCCTCTTTCTGCTTGGCCTGGGGCTTTTGCTTCTCTTCCTGTGAACCCTCTTCTTTTTGGGCTGTCTCTCTGCAAACTTCTTAGAACTAAACTGGGCCATTTTCTCACACAGTTTCTTCTTTCCCAAGGTATCCTGGAACTGGAGCTGGTTAATGCAAGTGAGGAAACAGTGATTTGTACTGGGAAAAGCCTGATGGAAAGATGTCTCCAAGACCTGTTTATAGAGTGACAGTGGGGTGCAGTCAACTGTGATATCAGTCAGTGTTACTTGTTCGCCCACCAGAAAAGTCCTTGTCTTCAAGTGAACATCCAGCAGCCCCAAAATTCACCATACCTCCTTCTTTGCATTCTCAGTGGCCTGTTTGTTGTGGTGTATGATGCTCAGGGTAGGGAAACCCAGGTACTGGCTGGGGGCACTATGTCACTATCAGCAAAGCTCACCTACTGTACCATCTGGGCTGCTGCCTCTGGAGTACTTTCCTACAGCTCCTCATTGCTCACATAGCAGGTGATGACATTGCTCTCAAACATACAGAATCCATCGTCATCCTCAAATGCTTAGAACCTTGCCAGTAGGAAATCTGAGGAGAAATTCAGGGGTCCAGTTGGTTTGGCCAAAGTGGAGAGCATGCAGACCTGAGTCCCACTGTAGTGAGTAGCGATGAGGGCCTTGGAGGCCCTCCAGTTTTGGGGATATGGATATAGGATCCCAAACACCATGGTGGTTCCACAGAGAAAGGGCGGGTTCTCTCTTAAGTAAAGTCCAGAAGCATTTCTGTACCTTTGCTGAGACATTTATTTTGCTTGTTTAAAGGTCCCTGAATTATTCCTGTACTTAAGATTATTCTAGATGGTTGGGACTGCCAAGCAGATAACCTTATAAGTCATGTGGTATGTAACAGTGATTTACAGATTAAATTATCCTTAAAAAATGTCAATTGTCAACAAATCCAACCTCTTCATTCTCTAAGGGATAAACGAAACTCAAAAAGTTCAAACAATTTGCCATACGTCACAAAGCTTGTTATCAGCAGAGCTAAGGTTAGTTAGAAGTCATTCAGACCAGTTAGGGTCTGAGAATATTCAGTATTCCTCCCCTGAGAATACTGGTAATGTCTGAAGACACACTAGGAGGGTGCCATTGGCACCTACTTGGCAGAGGCCAAGAATGCTGCTAAATGTCTTATAATGTAGAATAACAAAAGAATTATCTGGTATAAAATGTCAATAATGCTTTAGAACTATACTTTGTCAGATCTAAATAGTCAATTTTATTTATAATACAAAATTCTGAGAATAGAAGTGTTAAAGCAGGTTATTTCTTAGGCAAATATTCAGGCAAATTTAAGGATCTAGTTTAATTTATTCCCTGTGTAATGGAATATGATAAAAGAAGAGAACATACTTACCAGGAGCCAAAACCCAAGGGTCTCCTATCATAATCTGGCAGATCTGGAGCAAGCTTACCAGCTTGTATGTTCAGGAATTTAAAAATGTGGATTTTGCCTTTTATACATATCTAAATAAAATAAAATATAAGTGGACAAAATTATTATTGAACACATTATTATATATGTTCTTTTTATAATCATAACCGGCTTTTTATGTAATGTAAATTGGGATTAGAAGGCATTTCTACCAAGTTTGTAGCACAATGTTAAAGAACTAATTATACTATTTGGTTCATTATTTGTTATTTTAGGTATTTTACTAGTAAATATAGGTTTTTGTCTTTTGGTTACCAGTAACTTTCAGTTACGCAGAAATAACTTATGATTATAAGCATTGTTAAAGCACCAAGTAAATTTATCACACTAAGTTACATATAGTCAGGAATTTTAAGACTTCTCTCCAATAAATTATATTGACAACTTTTGATTTTAGGAATCCAAAAATTATGTACATTTGTGGTTTTGATCCTACTTTCTATAAGACTAAAATGACAAAATAGTAAAGTTATATATATATTTTTTGTGACCTGTCCCACAATTCAAAACAACTTCTTTAAGCTGATGAAACTCTTCTATACTTATAAGGTTTTTATACTACGTTTTTACAGATGCCATAAAGAGTACCTTAAGCTTGTGTAAAATCATCAATAAATTCCAGAGTTAAAAAAAAATACTGTGAAAACTAGGGGTTGGCCAACATTTTTATAGATTGTAGGATAACTATGATCTATGTGAAAAGCTACTTTATAACTAAATAGTTTCATTTAAGTCCCTGAGAAAGAAATGAACAAACTAGTTAGATGGGAAACTTAAGAGTTTGGAAAATAGGAAGATGAAACAAAAACAATGGTCAAAAGAACACATTGATACATCTTTAATTTGGAAAGCTTTTTTTTTGTATCTAATATTTATGTTCTCTATATCCAAGTTTTGCTAGGAGAAAACTGAGAGAGAAATTTCATATTTTATTAGAAAAAGAATTTTAGGGGGCTGGGGTTGTGGCTCAGTGGCAGAACACTGCCTAGAACACATGAAACACTGGGTTTGATCTTCAGCACCAAGTTAAAAAATAAATAATAAAATAAAGGTATTGTGTCCATCAACAACTAAAATATACATAAATATAAATGAATATAATTTTAGAATTCCTCAACTTAAAAAATGCCAAACTGGGGAAAGGAAAACCATTTGTGAAAACATCACCTATCTTCCATCCCACTTATTCAAGGTTTCTACAGAATATATATGTATATGCATTTATTTTAAGAAAATAACAGAAAGATAAATGCATATAAATTTAATTCTTTTGTCAAAACATGTATATAACATATTTCAACTAAGGTTTACCTGTGCAGGAGGTGACTGCAGTGGATTGTTATCTAGGGTGATCACTTGTAGGTGCCTAAGATTCCGATAACAAACAGGGATTGCTATAATTTTATTGCATGAGAAGTCTAACCGTATCAAAGGTAACTCTGCCAGCTCTGCAAAAAGATAAAATGGAAATGAACAATTAATGATATTTTAAGTCTACATAATTTTTTACAAGCACTTTTAATTAAATAACAATGGATTTAACTTAGGTATTTACCTCCATTCTTGGTGACTAACTGATAAAGCAAAGTGATGTAAAATAAAATCTAGTTATCTATAGGTAGGAATACTAATAAAAATCAAGCAGTTTGACCTGATACAGAATTACAGAAATTCCTAGAAACTGGAGGCCCTGATATCAAAAAAAGGTGAGAAAAACAAAAGGAGTAGATGACAAGTCTATATAAAAACGTAATCAGATGCCTAGGTCCCCAGTTCCACCTCACACAGTTGGAGCACTACTCTTTTCCAATCCTACAGAAGTCAGCCAGTTAATTCTCTAGTGAAATTGTATCAAAGCTCTGAACTCAGGGACCTCAGGTACAATGGGAAATCAGATGAGATGCCAAATGAAAACGGAGGAGTGAAAGACTATACAATCAATGGCAATTCCATAGCACATGCCACCCCACCCCACTCTATCCCCAACTCTTGTAGGCCAGTAGATAGAAATACATACACTAATATACAAGAAATAGAACATCTTTCTCTAAAGAAGCTATACAGTGCCTTATAAAAGGCCTTTAGACACAGTCAAGGCATTCCCCCTAATAAAAACACCCAGCTTGCTGCTTAATTACCCTTCTGCAGTTTACGCCTCATAGAATCAGCACTTTTAGTTGGCTGTACATAGACAACATATGATCCACAGACATTTAGAGAAGCCAATGACACATAAGAAAGAAATCAAAACCAACTAACCCACCAAAAAAAGGAACTTCAAAGAAACAAGTAATTATAGAGGAAGCAAAAGAAAATTTTGAAAATTTAGAATTAATATCCTTAATTTCAGAGAGTGAGAATATTGAACCACAAAAACACAAAAGAGATTTTTTGGCGGGGAGAAAAATCACAATAACAAGACTTGTTAGAAATGAAAAATATGTCAGAAATTAAAAATTCAGAATAAATTTCTGAAAGCAAATATCCAAGAATAGGCCAGGTACAGTGGCACACACCTATAATCTAAACTACTCAGGAGGCTAAGGCAAGAGGATCAAGTTTGAGGCTAATCTGGGCAAATTAGCAAGACCCTGCCTCAAAATAAAAAAATTAAAAAAGGGCTCGGGATGTAGCACAGTGAATAGAGCACCATTGTATTCAATCGCTGTGTCCCCTGCCCCCAACATCCCCCAAATCTAGGAATGGTTGGAACTATTTTACAGGGTAACACAAAAGGACAAAAAAGGGAACAATGAAAAAGACAAGAAAAATCAAAGGCGCAATCAAAGAGGTCTAACATTCAATTCCAAAAAAATGAACAGACACCAAAAGAGAGAAAATTACCAAAAAGAGAAAGAAGCAAATTTTTCAAAATAAGGCCTAGAGTACCTCAAGTATCTAGCATGGTGAGTGAAAACAACTCATACTATGGCACATCATCAAAAAGTTCAGAGCAGGGGGGGGGGAAGATCTTAAAATCTTTCAGAGAGAAATATTTGGTCACAAAGGATTGGAATTAGAATTAGAAGTACTTTCAAAAATCAATTTTTAACACTGGAGGCTAAAAAAAACAAAAAAACAAACAAAAAAAAAAAGGCTTAAAAGTCCTAAGAGCAAATAGCCTAGAATCTATACTCTAATAAATTATCAATCAAGGGGAGTAGGGATGATGTTTTGATTTAAAATTAAATTAATTTTAATTTTTACTAAATAAACTATTACAATATTCAAAAAATATTTAAACACTTATATAGTGGCATTCCTTAAAACTCCCCACACTCTAGTTTCCATGGCCAGAGCATCTACCTTCATTAAACCTATTTGACTTTTCCACTGTTGTTTGCTCACTTTTTTTGGGGGGGGGTGGGTGGGTGGATCAGTGATTGAATCAGGGGTACTTAACCACTAAGCCACATCCCTAGCCCCCCCTTTTTTAACATTTTATTTAGAAACAAGGGTCTTGCTGAGTTGCTTAGGGCCTTGCTATTTTGCTGAGGCTGACTTTGAACTTGAGATTCTCCTGCCTCAGCCTCCCAAGCTGCTGGGATTACAGGTTGAACTGTTGCACCTGACTTGCTGACATATTCTAAATAGTACACTTTAAGCTAATGCTGGTTTGTCAACTTTAACACCTATGTCAACTTCTGTTATGATAAATCAGGTTTTTATTTTCTTATAGTATCACCATATCATAACCTTTATTTTCCTCCTTCTGTCTTTCCAGTATCATCTTGTTACCACTTTTGATTAAAAGTGTTTATTCAGGGGCTGGGGTTATGGTTCAGTGGTAGAGTGCTCACCTAGCATGCATGAGGCAGTGGGTTCGATCCTCAGGACTACATAAATGTAAAACAAAGATATTGTTTCCACCTAAAACTAAAAAATAAAAATTTTAAAAAATGTTTATTCGGATTTATATTACTATAATATATAAATATTATTCCTTCCAGTTTAAGTGATATGCTCTGATTTCATTTCCTTTCTTTCTTTCTTTCTTTTTTTTGGTGGTGCAAGGGATTTAACCCAGGGCCTTGTGCATGTGAGACAAGCACTCTACCAACTGAGCTATGTCCCCAGCCTTCATTTTCTTTCTTGTATATTTTGTTCTTGTTTTCTAGAGTTAATAAAAATGATTATTAAAAAAAAAATTTGTTTAATTTTTTAAAGATGTATCTATGGCTAATTCCACCTTTTTATCCAGCAGCCTTCTTTGTCAAATGCATCAGATTTTTCTATCACTTTTTTTTCCTGTATATCTTCCCCACTAAGACCTTTTTCTCTCTTCTTACCTGAGCTGGTGGTTCTCTAAGTGGTGCTACCCCTGCCTATTTTCTTCTGGGTTGAATACTCTTTGGATTTCAGATCTTCCTTTTCTTAGTTTACTCTGTTTTGCTGAAGGACATCTTTTAGTTGTCTTGTGCCCATCATTCAGAGATCATGCGCACACACGTGTGTGTGTGTGTGTGTGTGTGTGTGTGTGTGTGTGTGTGTGTGTGTGTTTTCCTGGGGACTGAACCCAGGGCCTTGTGCATGTGAGGCAAGCTCTCTACCAACTGAGCTATATCTCCAGCCCATCAAGATCTTAAAAATAAAAAGATGAATAATAATAAAACAATTGTTTCACAGTTTCTTACCTTCAGGCAAACGTACTAAGTGATTTCTTCTCACATTAAGGTCTCTCAAGGCCTCCAGATTACCAATCTGGGAAGGTATAGTTTGAATTTCATTGCAGCTCACATCCTATTTCAAAAGGGAACAAAGTAATCATTGTTCTAATAGTAAACTTGCCTGTTTTAAACTATCTCTACAATGAGATTAGATAAAATAATACCTAGGGTTCTTCTCAGTTATAAAAAAAATTATGATTCTCTGTTAAAGAATAATTCCATAATTTGTGCTCACATTTAATTTTAAAAACTTATGAGCCATAAATATTTCTCAAGAATATAGTTAATTAGATTACTTAAAATATGACTAGAAGGGCTAGGATATCAGATCAAATGAAAACACTGATGAAAAGGTAAATATAAAAAAAGTATAAAAATAACTATTTTATTATATATTATTCTAATAAATTAAAATAAAAAATTAAATGATAAAATTATTTGAAAGAAAAAACTCCATTTTCAAAACATCAGTTTCAACTCTTTGAAAATGTAAAAATACACAGAAGATTTCAAATTATCAAATTGGATGTGGATAAAAATGAAATACACATAACTCAAAGGTTATGGAAAAACAAGTTGTTTTATTAGCATACGATCAACCCAATTCCAATACATGTTAGGTAGGCTTCTTTTTATTTTTTTGTGATAATAAAGATTGAATCCAGGGACACTTTACCATTAACTTACATCCCAAGTCCTTTTTTTAAAAACAATTATTTTTTAGTTGTAGTTAGACACAGTATCTTTATTTTGTCTATTTATTTTTATATGGTACTGAGGATTGAACCCAGGGCCTCACACGTGCTAGGCGAGAGCTCTATCACTGGGCTACAATCCCAGCCACCAAGTCTTTTTTATATATATATTTTTGTTTTGATACATCAGGGTCTAATCTCACTAAATTGCCAAGACTGGCCTCAAAATTACAGTCCTTCCCTCCTGAGTAGTGGGATTACAGGCATTCTAGTATTTTGGTAACAGTTTTATTACAATGGTTCTGAAAAGAGACTACCCATAGGTTCTAAGATTAATAAATTCAGAATTTCATAATTCTGAGATCAGCCAGAATAATTCGTTAACCCATAATCATGTATTATAGCAAGAAACTATCTAGGTTGATAAAAAGCTCCAAGCTGCACATTATCACTTAAAATTCTTCCAATATATAAGGAAAAGAAAATAATACATTTACTGTTTAGAGAATCAGACTACTGCCGGGCTTGGTAGCTCACTATTGTAATCCCAGCAACTCAGAGGCTGAGACAAGAGGATCACAAGTTTGAGACCAGCCTCAGCAACTTATAGCAAGGTCCTAAGCAAGACCCTGTCTCAAAATAAAAAGGGCTGGGATATGGCTCAGAGGTAAAGCACCTCTGGATTCAATCCCTGGTTCAAAAAAAGAGAAAGAGAAAGAGAAAGGAAGGGAAAGATGGGAAGGACAGGAATGAAAGAAAGGAAGGGAAGGGAGGAAGAAAGGAAAGGAAAAAAAGAAAGAAAATCAGATTTACCCAAAACTTCATTAAGCTCAAACATTATTTGTTAATGTCCCCAAAATACTCTTAGAGAAAACAATGCAATTTTCACTTTTCCTATGAATTAATGACTAAAGTAGAATCCGAAGCTAGACTTTTAAATCTAATGCTATAGGCAACAAGTGTCAAGAAAACTGGGCCTGAGCCAAAAGTTTATAGCAATACATAACATATCCCTAAGGAGGGAATATGAATATATATGTGTATATGTAGAATATATATATTCCAAAAGACAGAAGTTTAGTTCCATTTTTAAATGAAGAGGAAAAAAGAAAGAGGCAACATGGATGTTGCAAAAAAAACATCAATTGGGAGTCAGGGGCTTTAGGGTTACTAATTCTTAGGACTCAAAGTATCAAATAACCTTTTTTTGTAGAAAACTAAAATCAGCTTCTGAAACCTCTCTATCTTTGGAGTATTTAGGACTGACAAATCCACCTGAAAAAGAGTGATCTAATCTGTCTAATTAGATTTATGTTGCGTGTATTTTTTTTGTTTACAATAACTCTCTTTGTTAATAAACCAGCATGGAACAATACACCTAAATCCCAGTGAACATGTTTGTATTGAACCATTTCAGAAATATTAAACATGGGCTTTAGGGTTAAGTTAGGAATGGTTTCAAATTCTACTTTTGTTATGTAACCTTGAACAAGTTACTAACCTGAGTGCTAGTTTCCTCAGCTATAAAATGAAGAAAATTTTAGTACCAGCTTATAGTATTATTGTGGTATAATTACTCCAAAATGAGAAAAGTCTTATTCTTTTTATTTATTTATTTATTTATTTTTTAGTTATAGGTAGACACAATGTCTTTATTTTACATTATGTGATGCTGAGGATCGAATTCAGTGTGTCATGCATGCTAGGCGAGCGTTCTACCACTGAGCCACAACTCCAGCCCAAGAAAAGTCTCATTCTTGTAGTTGAACATAAATACACAAGAGATGCTTTCTTATAATTTACAAGGAGGGTAAATTAAGACTTTTACTTTTACTTAAAGTTCAAGTAAAAGTCTTAGAAAATATGAGGCAACAACAAAGCCCAACATTATGTATAAATATAATGCATCTATAAAAAATATGGAAAAAATATAGGGCAGTAAAATATACTGTAGAGTTTGAGATAGTATGTGTGTGTGTGTGGGGGGGCTGACTTTTGAAGTGCCCACTCCCATAAAGGGGCTAACAGAAAATTAGAATATTGATTGTATTAATAAAATTTAATTTGAAAAACCAAATGCATTATTACCTTATATTTCAAAAATTTAATAACAAATCATTTAACACTGGTTAGAACATAATTCTAAAGACATTTTCCCATTTTGTGTGGGCCTATTTGACTTATACTTTCAGTTCTTTTTTAATTCAATGTCAAGAAGTTGAGTTACTACTCATTCAGCCAAGCTTCAATACCAAAGTGGAAAATAGCTGAAAATACATATTAATAGTAGATCTTTACCACGTATAAGAATATAATATGACTACAAAGACACACTGGATGAGCAAAAAATGAAATATTAACTTACAAGTTCTGTCAAATGTCTGAGATGTCCAATTTCTTCTGGAAGTGATACCAATTTGTTATTACTAGCAATTAAAACTTTCAATGGTAAATTACACAAGTGTACTGGCAATGTTGACAGTTGGTTCCGACTAAATGGGTAAGTAGAAAAAAAGGAGTCAGAGCCTACCACTGAGGAAAAAAATTCCATCTTTCTTATTCTAGACTCAAATATAAGTCTTACAGGGAACAAACAGGATATTAGATATCAGTTCTAGCTTTCATTTTGCCAGATGTCATCTTTGTAATTTTAGGCACAGCACTGAACTTATAACTGTATCTTATGAAGAGTCCTCATGGATAATTAAAGATTTAATATTTTCCTAACTATCTTACAGGGCTCTTACACAATAAAACTCTTTTATAAAGAATGAATGCTATATGACCATGACATTATAATTTTATTAAAGTAATATTTACATAAGATCATCCTTTCTTTTTCCTCCCGAAGATACAGAAACAAAATTATTTGTATTCTACTTCACTCATCATTACAATATTAAAACCAAATGTACAAAAATGATTCAAATATTGCTCTATGGAAAACAAGTGATAGACTGTGATTTCATATGATATACCAAATAAATTATAGGAAAGGAATCTTTATTTATACAAAAACAGAAAAATTGTATCTTAAAGTAAAATAACAAAACACATATGTAAATTTAACTTCTTAATCCTTAATATCAATTCCCTCTCCATTTTCAAGATGTAACTAATGTAGATCATGAGGCTTGAAAATGTTTTTTTTTTTTTTTTTTAACTGGAGATTGGACCCAGGGGTGCTTAACCATGGGCCACAACCTCAGCCCTTTTTTGTATTTTATTTAGAGACAGGGTCTCGCTGAGTTGGTTAGGGCCTCATTAAGTTGCTGAGGCTGGCTTTGAACTCATGATTCTTCTGCTTTAGGCTCCTGAACTGCTGGGATTACAGGCATGCACCACCATGCCCAGCACTAAAACTTTTTAATCCAATAATAATTCCACTCTTAGACACTTATCTTAAGGAAAGAGAAAAATAAAATTTACATACAAACTTCTCTAGTAGTGTTACTTTTATTGTGGTAAAAAACTGGGAGAAACTAAATATCTGGGAGGAAAATGGACTTTTAAAAGCAGATAAACTATGCAACAAGATGATTATCTATAAAAATATTTTCAAAGGGTATTTTATGATAAGAGGAAAGAAAACACATTTTAAAAATTGACTAAATCCTGGAAAAACAGAAAGCGAAGATCAAATATAATTATATAACTTAAGATACAATATTTTGTTGAATTTCCTTTGTGCTTCTTTACATTTATATGTTTTCAGTTGTTTTATATTGAATTTTTTTTAAAAAAAAGTCATTGTTAAGATGTAAAGAAATAGAAATGAGTTGAATAAATGCATTTACACATTCAAAAGTTAATACACAAAAATTCATGGTCACAAGAACCAAGTGAAGGAATTTCAGACCTACTATTTTTGTTTGAGGAAGCTACTTTAAAAATGTAATTGGAGAACCACTGCTACAAGCCTGTTAGACTAATGGCTAGTAGGGTGTGTTAATGATTGTAAAGCCAAAGATACGCAGAGACACTAGAAGAACACAGGATATACTGTTGATTTATCCTAAGAACATGTACAGAAACTGCCAATACAAACAGATACTGTAAATATCTGTAAAGAGTTTAGTGAAAGAGATGAGAAAATTAGAAAGACCTTATAAAACCAAGTTAAACAAACAAACAAAAAAAGAAACAATATGCTTACCTAATATTTAAGAATGTTAGGGCCTGCAGGTTTAGAATCGCCTCTGGGATATACCGAATACAATTTTGATATAAGTTGAGATTTTCAAGAGAAACAAAGTGACATGCTTCTATAGGAATTTCTGAGAGGCGGTTTCGTGACAGGTCTGAAAGAAAAGTTATTTTTTCAATAAATTTTTACTGAAATGTTAAACTAATATGCAGGCTTTGTAATTATTTAAATTCTCCAGTGTTCCTATTGTGAAGACTGGTTCGACATAAAGTTAAAACATCAACTGACTCAGTAAACCATTTAAATACACACCTTTGAATCTATTGCTGGGAAATGTTGATTTCTTTTTGAGTTTCCATATACACTAAAAAATAAAACCACTATTCATTGCAAATAAAGCAAATACTAAGGCATCTCCTATATATTAAAGATTATATCACTAAATTCCTAAGAGCCTAAGAAACAATTGGATCTCTAAAACTCACCTTCCCACAGCCAGGTTTTTAGAACAGGAAAACAAAACAAAACAAAAATACTACCCTTTTCTTTACCCCAAATTATCAGGGTTTGTCAAAAGGACTCTGTAATTTACGGCTCCCACTGCCCAAAGGTGAGACAATTTGAACTTTAATAAAAATAATTGCAATGAATTGAAATCCATCACAAATATCAAACTACACGAGTTTATAACAACACACCTCAAAAAAGATGACAGAACAGCAATCCATTATCCTGTACACTGATAAAATAAGGAGAAAAAACAAATATTTATCCTGCATTCCCTACATGACTTTATCAGTGAGCCAAATAGATGAAGAGAAGTATCCAAGGTTTTCCCAAGGGACAGAACCTGTGTCTAATCAAGCTTCTGGATCAGTGGCAAACTTAATAGGAAATGCAAAGAATAAAGGACTATGTTGCTATAGTCATTATCCATTCAGATTTAATTCAGTATACTGTGAGATTCATTTGCTTATTACTGTTTTTTTCTTTCTGTAGGAAATCAGAAAAATAGTTTTCTCCCTGCCCCCTCCATTGCCCCCTTTTTTTTTTTGGTGGTGTTGGGGATAGAACTCAGGCCCCTGAACATGGCTAGGCAAGCAATCTACCACTGAGCCCAGCCAAGAAGCCAAGAGGAAATCTTAAGTCTCTGTTGGGAATCATTTGGGAAAATCCTTAAATGAGAACATTCTCTAGATGGAAGACTTGGCTAATATATCCTCTGAATACCTGCACATATACAAATACCTTGTTTTAACCGTAACAAATAAATGATATTTTGGCTATATAATGACACAGTTCTTTTCTTAGTAATCTGTAGATGCTATTTAACTACTTTCTAGTTTCTAATGTCCTATAAAAAAGTTCAGTGCATATCTTATTACCTTTCTTTTGTAAGCATCTTGTTATGCCTGCATACCACCTTCAACACTTAGTCTGAAATGCAGTGAACTCATTTAATCCTTCTTTCCAAACCAGATTTGTCTATTTTATCTTTAGTGGATGCATCTCCTACAATGGTTCTTTCTACTTCTTTCTATTTTGATATATACACTTCTAATTACTCTTTTTTTTTCTTTTTATTTATTTATTTATTTATTTATTTTATTGGTTGTTCACAACATTACAAAGCTCTTGACATATCATATTTCATACATTAGATTGATTACTCTTCTAGATTATGAATTTGAATTTAACAAAAATCATTCTCTCCACAAATTATAGAAAAGTTTTCCCTCATCCCTTCTTGTTTCAGTTCTTTTATGGTATAATTAGAAGCATGCCACTTTGTTTCTCAGGAGAATCTCAAGATAGTTTTGTTTTGCTTCTTAAACTTGTCACAAATCTCTTCCAGGAGTTCTACTTCACTGAAGTTAACTCATTTTGGATGTTTTCCTTGTTCACCCTTTCCTTGGCTATTCAAGTACTTTTATGAGGATTATGTTCTTTGATAATTCATGGCTCTCCGATTCTTTAAAGCTCAGGTCAAGCTGCAAGGTTACAATGAATGGCAGTTAACACCAAACTAATAGAAACAACTTCTAAAAGAACTGAAATCAAGCTTTCCATCTGGGACAGAGCTAATTCTGTGAACTCACAAGTTTAAGATAACTGTCTTTTTGTTTGTTTGTAGTTGTAGATGGACAGAATGCCTTTATTTTATTTATTTTTATGTGGTGCTAAGGATTGAGCCCAGTGCCTTGCATATGCTAAGCAAATGCTCTACCATTGAGCTACAGCCCCAGCCCTGTCTATAGGCTTTTTTTGCCTTGTTTTCTGAGACCAACATGTCCCAAGACTCACACATTCCCTAAGGACTATGCCTGCCTGCCTTATGATAGTAACAGAAGTTGGGAAAGAGATCATTATTTTGCCAAAATGCCTCATCTTGCTATATTCACTTGGACAAAATTAAAGCCCAGGTAATAGTAACCTTTGAGTACTTCAGACTAAAAATTTCCCCCAAAATCACCATGAATAACTTCTTTAATATGAAGTACAATTTTTATCAATTCCTATTTAAATTATATTAGTATACTTTTAAAAGTTGAAGAAAAAAATTATTAATCTCAATCACAAACTGTTCCTTAAATATTTAAGCTGAATCCAGTAAAGATAATTTCAGGCAACAAATTAAAATTAAGCAGAGGTAGTTACCTTAGCTAAGCAGAAAAAGCTTAATATTTGTATTAGAAACCTAAATTATTTAAAAGTCCAGTTTTGTCTCCAAACTAATGAGGGGGGAAAAAAAACAATAGCTAGACATATACTAAGTTTAAATGCATGTCAATAAACAACTATTCCTTATTTTTTTTAAGTGATTAAAGAATTTAAAACATAATATGTCTACTTTTTTTGAGCCTGTGGTATTAGCAATGGAACTTAAGACCTCATGGATACTAGGCAAGAGTTCTACCATTGAGCTATATCCTAAGTCCTTCTTATTCTGAGATAGGGACTCACTAAACTGCTCAGGATGGTCTTGAACTTGCCACCCACCCAACTGTTAGCTGGGATCACAGTATGCCATTGTGCCTGGCTAATTGGTCTACTTTTAAAATCATAATTTTAAAAGGTTCTCTCTCATGTTTTTGGCAAGTAGTTTCTTGTTTTAAATGAGTAATCTTTTTTTAAAAAAAATTTTAAATTGTAGATTGACACAATTTTTTATTTTATTCATTTATTTTTATGTGGTGCTGAGGATCAAATCCAGTGCCTCACACATACTAGGCAAGCACTTTACCACTGAGCCACAACCCCAACCCTTAAATGAGTTATCTTTTAATATGCTATAAAATCATAAATGAACAGACAGAATTAATAACTTGGGTAGATGGATCATCTTATGGAAAATACCACAAAATAATAGTTTGTAAAGGATATGTATTATCATAGTCTCTCAGAGGGAATAATTTTATAGCCAAAGAAATGTGATTAAAGAGGAAAAACAAATTTGATCCTTTTCAGCTAAAAAAAAAAAATTGAATGTTTTATTCCTAAATCTCTTTTCCCACTTTGTATCATGTATTGAATTATCATACTATACCTCATAAACATGTAAAATTATACCAATTTAAAAAAACTTTGAGTTATAAAAGCAATGCATTTTAACTTCATAAATATAAAAGACTGCATTGAAACATATATGCATTCAAAGAAGTGAAAAATATTCTATTCAATACCTAGAAGCCCCAGTGTAGCTGTTGCAGATGACTCCTTCCCCTCTCTCAAACATGTAACCAATTTACTAATTTTTGTGATAATTGTTTTCTTTTTTAAAAAATGCTTATTGTTTTTTAGTTGTAGATGGACATAATATCTTTATTTTATTTTTATGTGGTGCTGAGGTTTGAACCCAGGGCCTCACAAGTGCTAGGCGAGCGCTCTACCGCTGAACCACAATCCCAGCCCCAGTGATAATTGTTTTCTTGATAGTTTTAGTTTTAACACTTTATAATCTGTAGGTTGGTCTTCTATATTAGTTTCCTATCACTGATGTGACAAACTACCTCAAACTTGGCTGGTGCTGTAGCTCAGTGGCAGAGCGCTAGTCTAGCATGTGTGAGGCACTGGGTTCAATCCTTAGCATCACATAAAAAAGAAAACAAAGGCATTCTGTCCATCTACAACTACAAAAAAAAATTTTTTTTAATTTAAAAACTAATAAAATTTTTTTTAAAAAACCTACAAACTTCTTACTTCACAATTCTAAACATCAGACGTTGGAAATGGGCTCCTTAGGTGAAAATCAAGGTGTCAGTAGTGTTGAGTTTCTTTCTGGGGTCTCTAGGGCAGAATCCATTTCCTTCCCTTTCCAGCTTAGAAACTGCCACATTGCTAGGCTCACAGCCCCATCCCTCCATCTTTATGGTAGTACTGTTAAGCCAAATCCTTCCCATGCAGTTATCTCTTGGCTATTCCTTCTCTGCCTCCCACATGTGCTCCTTGCTCCAATGGTAAGGATGTTCTTATTTAAGGTCAGCTGATTAGCAAACTTAATTTCCCTTGCCATGTAATCTGATATATTCACAGGTTACAGGTATTGGGAGTAGACATCTACATAATTCTGGATGGCACAATTCTGCCCTTCATACCTCTTAACTTTCTAAAAGCAAAAGAATACAACATGTGTATTCTTTCGTGGCTTTACTCAACATTTAGACCCATTCATGCAGTTGTATATTGCAGTAGTTCCTTCATTTATATTGTCTTCATAGTATTCTATTGTATGAATCTGCCACAATTTACTTAAGTATTCTACCAATGATGAGCACTTTGATTATAATACATTGATGTAGAAATATACCTAGAAGTGAAAATACTGTGTAATAAGATACACAGGCGGAGGCAGGAGGATCTCAAGTTTGAGGCTTGCCTGGGGAACTTAGCAAGACCCTGTCTCAAAATTTAAAAATAAAAGATTTTTTTTTAAAGGGCTGGAGTGTAGTCAGACGAACTCCCCAGTACTCCTCCAAAAATTATATATGAATATATATGTGTGTGTGTATATATATATATTTTTTCAACATCACAAGAGAATGCCTAACTGTTTTCCAAAGTGATTGTATCAATTTAAAATCCATCAGCAGTGTACAAAGAGTTCTTGTGGCTGCACATTCTTGCCCATGCTTGTTAGTATATTTTAATTTTTGT